TCACATGAAGTGAAGTACCAAGGATGGTCCTCCATCATTCTTTTAGGGTTTTTAAGCATCAAATGTTGACCAAATCAAGTGAGAATTCAAGGAAAAAGTGGGCTGCAATTTAAATGCATGTTCAAGGAATCATTTTACACATGGATACTCAAAAACACCTGGAACATGCTAGAACTAAATAGCATGCATGAATGACTCCTAAATAACTTCTATATGTCACGCCCACTTCATGTTATGCATCATGATATTTTTGGTTCATGTAGTCATGCAAGGTGTTTGGCATACATACATCGATTTTTTTTTTGTAGACAAAATGGAAAACAAGACTTAGACAAAATTTGAAAGGATTCAAAAATCAAAAGGCATGTTCATAGCATGTTCTTCATGTTCATATAAGACTCAAGCCTAAAAATAAAAAGGACGGATACATCTTAAAAATGGAAACCTAAAACATTCAAGGAAGGTTCACAAGCAAGTATAAAATGAACCAAAATGCAAAGCATGACACTTGATCATATAACAAGGAATGACAAGCAAGGAAGACATGACATGACCGAAAAGAAGAAAAACAAGACTAGAGGTTACCCTTGATGAACCTTGGCTCTAGATACCACATGAGGAGACCTCCTTCCATGGATGATGAAAACGTCTTTGAGGAGGGTCACCTTGCCCAAAGATCTAGGCACACCAAGGGAAAGTAGCCTTTGAAGAGAGATGTTTATGATGAAGGGAATTTTGGGCGTGAGAATGGAATGCTCTTAAGGTAGCTTTAGGTGTTTTGATGGAAGCTCAAGTATGGTTGGCTCACTCCAAGATGAAGATGGAGGCCACTCTAGGTTTCCCACTCTCCAATGGTGGAGATAGGAGAAGGCTAGCCAAAGTTAACCTAGTGACTAAGGAAGGGATGTTGAGGCAAAAATGTTCACTCAATATCATATATTCCAAAGTATTTACAAGGTGCATGGTTTAGGGTATTTATAGGGGAGGGAGCATTTAGGGTTGCATTTGGAAGTGTATGGCCGAAAATTGCAATGCCAAATGCACTCCGAATGAAACTCAAATTAACCCTAGAAGCTACTTGGTGGCCAAGGATAGAATCTTTGGGTTTGGCTAAGCTACAACTAGGTGCATGATAAGACCATGCAACCTAGGTGCCCTCCACTTGGGCCTAAGCCTTTCCAAGTCCAAAAATAGATCAATGCTCACCAAAAAAATACGTCTAGGCCCTAAATAAATACCCTTGTCCAAAAAAAATAAAAATCCTATAATCTAAGGCACCCCATAATACAAGGGTAAAATGGGAAATAGAAGTAAAATAAATCCTATAACTAAAATACCCCAAAATAAAAGGGTAAAAAAATAAACCCTATACTAATGAGACTTTGGAAAGTAATTAGTACTCTATGACCATGAGGAGGGTATCCTTTGGTGGGTGAGTTCCCTCTTCCTCTTCTACTCTCCTAGTCATGGACCTTGTGATGGGGCCCACATGGTTCTTCAAAGATGGTCCTCCATTAGAAAGAAAGAGATTAACCCAAGCATAGGGCTAATGAATTACAAGTAAAATGAGATGTAATACAAAGAAATTGAAAATTTTCACAAAATAGAAAACTGAATTTAGTGACTGATTTGGTGACTGATTTAGAGACTGAATTGGAGTCCTTATATTGATTCCCGCAGATCCATCGCAAAAATCAGTCTCTAAAGGTAGACCTTGCTGGAACAGTGGTAATGAAACCCATTGCAAGAGTGGTTGCTAATCTCATCTCAAAACTGGTTAACAGATTCTGTTGCTAAAATTTGTCTCTAATTCCGTCTCTAAGTTTGTCTCTAAATTTGCCTCCTAAAACACAAAAAATTCTTGGATGCAAAATGAAAAAACAAGTTAGCCTCTAAAATGTGTTTCACTCAAGGATTTTAGTACCTCAATCTCCCTTAAGTTGCAACCCCTTTGAGATGAATCCAATATGTCTCAATTATCCAATCCTTTCCAAGTGTAATGGCTTGAAAATGGTCCAATCTTCACCAAGATTTAACAACCATTAAGAGAATGTAGAGGCCAATAAAATCAAAACTAAAAAGGCACAATTATAATAGGCTAAACTCAAATAGGAATTAACGTGACAAACTCAAAGAATGCCAAAAAGACACAAAACAACAAATAATGGACAATTACAACATTGGCACTCAAAGGAGTAGTCCTAGGAATGACTCTAGAGTTGATTTTAAAATTAAAACCAAATTTGTACTATTATTTTGAGTATTTCAAATTGTTTCCAGCCATTGGGCAGAGATCAAATCACATGAAAATTTTCACAAAAATTTAAGGCCAAGTGCTCCTAATGTTTATTGATTCAACACTTTATTTTTCTAGCTTTTTTTCTCTTGTTTTCTTTTTCTTTTGTTGCCTTCTTGGCTCTATTTTTTTAATACAGTATATGAGCACTTCACACAGAGGCCAAACAATGATATAAAATGATTCCAAGGGGTGGAGAAAAAGAATAAGAAGTGTAAGTGTACAAGTAATTTATATTCTCGAGTTAACTGTTTGATCACGAGTTGCGAGTCACCTCGAATGATTATGTTCCTTGCCCCCAAGTCCTTGAGCAATTTTAGCCCAGTAATCAATGTTTCGTATTCAGTTTCATTATTCAAGCATTCGGATTTCGTTCTCAATAAGAATTTGGTGGGAATCCCACCCGGTGAAATAATTAGTAATCCGATTCCTGCGCCTAACTCGTGTTTCGATCCATCAAAAAATAATTCCCACGATTTCGTGGTTAAATAATTAACCCGTTCATTTAAATTCGAGTGATCCACGAGAAAATCAGCGATTACTTGTCCTTTTGTGGCTTTGAGGGGAACAAACGTTAACGAATACTCGGTCAATGCAAGAGCCCATTTCCCAACTCGAGAGTGCAGGATAGGTTTAGATAACATATATTTAATCACATTATTTCGATAGAATACGAATACATCATAAGGTTTAATATAATGCTTCAGCTTTGTACAAGCATAATACAAACTCAGACATAACTTCTCCAAAGGAGTGTATCTGATTTTTGCCTCGACTAACATCCTACTGATGTAATAAATGGCTATCTCGATGCCATTTTCGTCATCTTGCGACAGCATGCCCGCAATAGTCGAATCATTGGACGAGACATACAATTTTAGCTTTCCTCCTT